TTTGGGTCTGTCTGTGGTCTCTTGTCACATTCAGCGGCATCCTCACCCTGAATCTCCTGTCACCTGGGAATCACGTCCAAAGGCGGGACTCCACTCATGTCAGTGTTTTGCAGGGACATCCTAGGTGGTGTGACATCACCCAATGAGCAGCCATCCTACCCCTGGGGATACTGCGTTGGCCACATGGCTTGGAGGTGGCTATGGTCTGTTCCTCTTTCGTAAAGTACATCTGGACAGTGATTTGGCTGTGGTCTTGCTTTGGTTCACTTGTCATTTTGTCTCTCCCACTACCCCATACATTTATATTTTTTCTCTTTTTAAATGTGTATTAGAGATGAGCCAAGCTTGTTTTCTCATAATTCACTGTGTCTAAGTGGAAGTAGTCCTTCCTGAGAGGAGGCAAAGCCAGGTCACCTGTGTTTATAAGCGTCAACTGAGGCCGGAGACATGGTGTAGGAGGCTCTTTGACCAAGATCATAACTGCCCCTGGGAACCGCAGGAAGGTGTCACCACATTGAGAAAGAACTAGCAAGCGCATCCCTGAAGTGCAGTAATGAGGAAGGAACATGGTTTGACTGAAGAATGGGTCACCCAATGAAGGCAACCGGCCCTGAGCTGGTCCTGGGTTCAGTGTGGGCGGTTTCTGTCCTTCCTCTGAGGGATAGCATCTAGGCAGAAAGAAGACAGAGACCAGGTAGGCTGGAGCCAAGGCCTGTGCCCATGGAGTTCTGGAAGGGCAGGTTTTCTGCTGTGTGAGGTGGAGGGTGTTGGCGTCAGCCCCTCAGATGAAGGAGAGCATACCACCAGCCTAGGTCAAGACTGAAATCCCCAGGGGGAGGGCCAGCTGGGTCCTGGCTACTCCCAAATGTTCCACAAGCCCCGTGGGTCTCCTTTCACAGAAGTGAAAGCAGAAGCTCTGAAAGGGTAGACCACCGAGAGGTGATCCAACTGCGGGTCAAAGGTAGGGATAGGATTTATCTAGTGGGTGCTCTTTCCTGTACCGCGTCTCCCCTCAACTGACATGTATGGGGGAAAGAAGGGTAGCAGGAGTGCTGGAATCAGCATGAGGTCTTTTCAGGTCCCTGAGGCCTGGCAACCTTGCAGTTTTTACCTCAGGGCCAGGACACAGTCAAGGCCTACCTCTGTCTTCCTGTGGTCTGTGTGAGGCTCACAGACCAGAAACCAGGCTTATCACTGTACAGTAAGCATGTTGAATGTATGGTAGCTGTTCCTTTAGTCAGCATTCTGTGCTTAGCGGCTATTGCATCAGTACTTTCTAGGGAAATTGCAAAATACAGCTCTTGAGAACCAGCTTCCTGTTTTTCTATCAACGTGATTGCTTTGCTTTCTTATTAAAAGTTGCCTGAAATAGGCCAACAGCAGCATCTTCCTTAGGAAGTCTCTCGTCCTTGTCTTTAGGATCACATTTGAGAAAGAAGGTCCCTTCCACAGCACAAGGTATGTCTGTATGTCTGCCTTGCCTGGATGGTACACAGAGCAGGCAGAATGGAGTTGAGTTAGAGCAACTTTGGTCTCCCTAAGCTGGGAGGGAGTTGCTTGTTCTTTCTGTTAGACCGAATTATGAGGGAATGTTCCGAATAGGCTAGAAAGGTTAAAAGTGACCCTACCCATGGTTGTTACAGTTCTTGGCCACAGTTGGTGAGGACTTGGAGCTCTTCCAGGTGTGGCTGGTAACATAGAAGCCTGTCTTGGGAAAGGAGAAGCCCATGGTGCTATTTAGTGATTAGCTGAAGCAAACAATTCCTGTTCTTCCCTCTCTATAGTGTGGCTGGGAGAGGAAGCAGCCCAGCTGCATGGATAGTGGCGCATCCCTGCAGCACTTGCTTTTTCCTTCGGAACGAGGGCTCAGGTAGTCAGAAGGGTTCACTTAGGCCCACCACACAATGACATCTGTGTTCCCTATCATGTGCTTGGGCACAAGAGCTCGTTTGTGGGCTGAGATACTGTCACTAAGGCAAGAGCATTTCTGCTGGAATCCTCCCTCTCCACCAAGACCCACTCAGCTGATCAGGGATGGTAACTGTTCTTTCTGCCACCTGCGGAACTGAGAGCTCTACATCTGTTTATGAAAACCGCAGCGTGCAGGGGAATACCCTTTGTCTTGAATCTCCACATTGATGTGGTGAGCTATTTCTGGCTGTGTGTTACTCTCTTTGCATCACTGATGGTGGACGTGATCATGTACATTTGCATTTGAAGCCAGTCTGGCCTTGCAGGTGTGCCGGACAGCTCGGGGAACAGGGAGTCCTCAGTGCTGCAGCGGGTTCCCCATCCACACATTCTGGCCTGGCTGAGTCAGCCCCTGTAGCCATACAGCCAAGGAGCACCTTGCCCTTCAAGATGCGGCTCATTTTCCAGACTACTCTTAGAGATGGCAGGGATGGGATATGGGCTTTTCTTCCTTATTTACTCATGATTTCCATTTGGTTATAAACAAGTTATTGGGTGCTATGCTGATATAAAGTGAGGGTTCTGTGAGTCAACCCTCAGGTTCTTTATCAGCACAGAGGCTGGGAGTGGGGGTAAGTGTTCATGGTTTGGAGAGAGGAGCTGCAGAATGCTGGCTGCCTTTGTTCTCTCCAATCTGTTTTTTTTTTTTTTTTTTTTTTTTTTTTTTTTTTTTTTTTTTTTTTGTCTTATTGCACCTTGCAGAACTTGCAGCGTGCTGAAAT